AAAAAGGTTATACCAAAAAACAGGTTATAACATAGGAAATGTGAGGTTTTAAAATGAAGTTAGTGTTAACACACAGGAGTTGTTTTTAGGCAGCATTTAGCTATGATGAAATGTATACAGGAGTAATTGCTTATATGCTTAAAATTAATTGATTAAAGTGGTTGTTTCCTTTTGGAGCTTTTAGTAGAATAGGCGCTTATAATGATTTTCTTGTTAAGAAGGTGACTTAAGATTAGAGTGAAGGCGCTTGCAGCAGCGATGTTACAGGATGTTGATGATCAGATAAGGGAAAAATAGAGCGAGCAACCGGATGTGAAACCAGCGCTTAAAGAGTGTTAAAGTGATGAGTAACGTTGAAGAATATATATAAATACAAGTCAATAAGTTAAGAAGATAATTAGGATCATGCTTTTGATTAAAGAGTCCAAAATAGGATAAGTTAGGGAGGTGCAGGAAAAGGTGTTTTGTTTCCTTTGCAGAAGATCTCGGCGACCACAGGAGGGGCGAGGATTCCTGGATGTCGAGGCTTTGTGAACCACAAGAGAGGGACCGAGGAAACCTAAGCTTACACATGGAGTGTTCTCGAAGGGGAGCTGGTGTTTATTACCGGACCAATTAGATGACAGGAGGTTGTCTGATTTGCTGAGCGAGGACAAAATGTATTGCGACCTCTGGTGTTCCAGAGGTCGAGAGAGGGAATGTGGAGCAGGGAAATTATTTTACTGCTATTGTTAAATAATTATCATCATTACCATTGCATTAATAATATAATCTGCAGTATGATCATTGCTTTAACAATGTAACAGATAGCTTTAAGATGGCCTTAAGATGTTTATGCATACGGTTATCATATTAACTTTGTATTTCAGATGCAGTTATAACTATTTTATACACATTGCATATCTGTGCTTACTTTGAGTTGATGTTTGGTTCATTAAGGGTCTTAAGCTTCACTGGCGTGACTGTCCAGATGATCCATGCTGAGGGAAACGAGAACATAGAAGGATTGCAATACATGCTTACAAAACACTTATATCAGGTTATTTTATATTAAGGTTTCATTAGAGGTTTTTGATTAGAACATTTATTTAGTAGAAGACATACACATAGTCTCAGTGAGCCTCTGGTCTGGTAAAAGGTCAGAAGTGCGAGAGGTGACATAGAGGCTGAGTGAGGTCAACACACACACTTTTAGTTAGATTTATTTAGAGGAGAGGTTACTCATGTCTGGTGCTAACTGCGAAAGTGTCTCGGTAAAAGAGGAACCGTTTCTTAGTGTCTCGGCAAGAAAGAGGAACAAGACAAGAACTGAAAGGTAGACAGGAAGGGCCAGCCATGAAAATAGAAGATGATGTTCTGTGTTAAAGGTCATTGTGGTGTTGATTTGACGTATGTATAAAATGTATCTGTGACGCATGAAGGGGCGTCAGTAAACAAACCCTGATGTTATAAAATAATTGTTTGTGCTTTAGTAAGTCGAAGATCAATTGCTGTCTGCGTACAGAGTTGTTCTTCCCACGCGTGTATTCATTAAAATCATTGTTTGACCAAGAGCTTCTGGACCATGGTGGTTTGTACTCTCCTTCCTCAATTTTTGAACCTTAACATAGCCTGTACATAGCTTGTACTCACTACAGCCTGTACATACTTATAGTTATAGAATATTCACAACATACTTCATACCGTGTACATTATAACATACCATAATAGACCCATTTCTGTAATATACTCACATATCTATATTATTGCTAATATATATTGTAATATATCTATATCACTAAAGCACTTCTGGATGGATGCAAACTGCATTTCGTTGCCCTGTACCTGTGCATGTGCAATGACAATAAAGTTGAATTCTATTCTATTCTAAAATAATAAGAATGCTATGTATGATAATTGGGAAACTACAAGTGTTAAAAAAAAAGAATTACTACTACATTGAAAGCTGTTATAGTACGCCTTAAACTCATAGACATTTGAAGATTCAAATATCCTCATTCCAAAACGTTTACTTAGTGCAACAATTCTAACTCGAGACATTCAAGGATAGACTTTTGGTTAGTTTGAGTCATGGTTCTGGGTCAGTGACCCAGTGTTTTTGATTTTGTACTCTTATTTTTGATAGTATGAATGATAACTATTTGTGTTTTTGGTTTCCCAGTGTTTATTCTGTGCTCCCTTTGTTTTCTGTCGTCCCTGCCTGTATATCCCCTCTAGTGTAGTCAGGTCTCTGCGTTAAGCCTGCGTCTCTGAGTCTGTGTCTTTGAGTGTGTGTTTCCCGTTTTATTTTGAAGGTCCGTGTCTGATCTCAGTGTGTTCAGATTACGCTTCCTTGTCTCGTCAGTTCTGATTTCTCCCAGCTGTGCCCTCCTTCTGTGTCTCACACACTTCCCAGTGTATTTAAACCCTGTGTTTCTCTGAGTCAGTGTCACGTCGTTCCTCGTGCTGTGTGGAACTCCCTGTGTCTCCCTGAGTGTTTAGTTTGTCATTTTCCAGTTCAGTTTAGTTTGCTTTTGCTTTTGTATGCTTTTCCCGGCCAGCAAATAAAGCTGTGGTTTTGAGTTCATCCCTCGTGTCTAAGAGCCTGAATTTTGGGTCCAATTCCTGTCTGCCACACAGCAATTCATGACAAAAAGACGATGTGAAAAAGGAGCTTAAATCTCAAACTTTTGGTCTATAGCTCAAAAAGATTTAAAGTATGGAAATAACTGGGAATTATTAAAATTTGAAATTGGCAAATATTTAAGGAAGGTTGGCAGCCTTAATGCAAAATCCAAAAGATTAGAGGAAGAAAATATAATCTCTCAAATTGACACTAACTGAAGAGGATAAATTGAACCTTGCTAAATTACAAGATAAATTAGATTGTTTATACTCAGACAAAGCAAAAGGAGCCTTTATCAGATCAAGATCTAAATGGCTTGAAGAAGGTGAGCGTAATTCCCATTATTTCTTCAGTTTAGAAAAGAAACACTCAAGTATAAATAATATTAGCAAATTAATGATAAATGGGGTTATAACAGAGGATTACAGATTAATCTCTAAATATTGTAGTCATTTCTATAAGGAACTTTATAGCTCTACATTTTCTCAGGAAGCTACAAATCATCTCTTAGAATCGCTGAATGTTAAATCTATCAGCCAAGAAGATTCTATATTATGTGATCAACCCATCTCATTAGAAGAAGTCAAAGATGCAATTGGGCTATTGAAAAATAATAAATCTCCAGGTACGGATGGTCTTACTGCTGAATTATATAAAACTTTTTCTGAAGAGTTGTCTCCCCCTTTCTTCTTGAGGTATTTGCAGAAAGCATAGGAAACCCAACTTCCCACTACGATGAATCAAGGTTTGACCACGTTGTTTCCTGAAGCCTAAAATAAGGACCTCTTAATGATTGATAATTGAGATCAATTAGCTTGCTAAATAATGATTATAAAGTATTTGCTCTAATTATAGCTAACAGACTTAAGATGGTTCTTGACTCTGTTATTGATGAAACACAATCTGGCTTTATGCCCAAAAGACACATAACTAACAATATCAGATTGGTTTTAGATATTCTGGATTATTCTGACCTCATAAATTGCAATGGTTTCATATTATTTTTAGACTTCTACAAGGCCTTCGATACAGTGGAGCATGAATTTATATTTCAAGCTCTGGATAAGTATGGTTTTGGCTCTTACTTCTCTACAGCGATTAAAACATTATACCATAACAGTAACAGCAGTATTAAATTAACAAACGGTACTTCACCCAGATTTAACATACAAAGAGGGATAAGACAAGGCTGTCCCATTTCTCCATACCTGTTTTTGTTAATTGCCCAACTATTGTCTAACCATACAATAAAACAAGAAGTTCGTTATTTAGGTATCATAATAACCAAAAACCAGGAAAGAAGAATTGATCAAAATTCTATCTATTCTAGTGAAACTCAAACACAGATTTACTCAGTGGCTCTTAAGAGATTTATCATTAAAAGGCAGAGTATTAAAAACTAAAGCAGAAGGTATCTCTCATCTTACATACGCTGCATTGGCATTGCACCTTGATAATAAACTCATAAAAGAGGTTGATAAGTTACTTTTCAACTTTATCTGGAAAAATAGGACACACTACATTAAAAAACAGTTCTTATGAACTCCTATGTCAATGGAGGACTTAATGTGTTAGATTTTAACACTTTAAATAACACATTCAAAATAAATTGGTTGAAGAATCTAATTACTAATCCTACTTCCATTTGGAATACTATACCTGTGTTCATGTTTTCTAAGTTAGGTGGCACTACTTATAATTTTAATATTGATAAAATCCCTATATAAATCTCTGCATTTCATCGCCAAGCTTTTTTAGCATGGACTCTTATTTACAAACATGATCTACACAAACACCAAAACCACAACAGATGTGTGATTAACTTGTTAATCTTAATGGTTAAATTTCATATTCACAAATCCAAATGTTTAGGAAGACATCCCTCTTTTTATGTTTTTTTCCCATGAGCTTGTGCAATACCTTTAATATAGTGCTGTTTAATTCTATTTTGTATAATGATGTTTAAATAAAGGTTTGTAAAACAAAAAAGAAGAAGAAGCAGCAGGGGGAGGAGACGAAGAAGAAGGGGTGTGCGTACTGTGCTCTTTGCTGTGTCTTTCCGCCGTTTTAAAAATGGGCACTTTTTGAAGAACCCGCATCAAAGTATTGTGGAGAAGCGTCGTGTTAAATCTAATTGATGAACGGCTTTTTGTCAGGTATGTATCGCAGCTGCGAAGACGAACGTACGTTCTCCTGTTAGGTTACAGCTGGTAGGAAGGTGCGTTCAGTGTGTCTTTGTAATTTTAAGTTTCCATGTCAAACGAGATGAAACAGTTATTTCTGGATGCGCAATTGTTCGCTGAGTTTGGTAAAAATGTGTTTTTGTAAACCACGTGATGATTTAAGTCATTTAATCTTTACAGAACATGTGAGCGAGGCTAATAGAGCAATATTTTTATGTTTAGTAAACTGACGTTTCTAAATGTAACTGCTTTTATTTCATTAGTTCTGACGAGGACAGCTGAGTGATGTTGTTGGTGAGCTTGGATTAAATCATCTCTAAACAAAGAACTTGTCCTCGTGGTGACTGACTTGGGGAGTGGAGGTCAGTGAGCCCATTGTCTCTGCTGGTCCGACTCCAACTACAAAGCCGGCCCGCTCGCCCCCTCCTGAGTCTGAGAGGAGATCCAGAGTAAGTCAGTTATAACTACACTGGTTGCTTAACTTCATCATTTTCTACAGGGTCTCTCTCTCTTAGCTCATTTTGGTTTGATTTCTGCCTTCTGTTTAGCCTCTCTGTTTGTCTGCCTCAGTACATTAATGTTTTATCATTTGAGATAAACTCTCTGTTTCCGTTCATATGAAGGTGATGTCTGTGGATATTGTGGGAAATATACATGTAGCAGTATTTCAGTAAGTGTCAGTCAGTCAAGAAGCAAAAGAATATTTAAACTAAAACACATTAAAAGAAGTGTTTTGCTTGTAACTGCATACGTTCCTGCACAGGGGCGGTTAGAACAGGATGTACTCAGGATGTGGCATACATGATCACGGGCCTCATAACGATCAACAGGAAACAGCTGGGGGTGAAAGGGTCTCGAAACTGCATTCTAAGTGTTGTAAAAAGGAACTTGCTCATGCATCTTTAGCGTGTACAACCCTTTAAATAAAGAAGTTCTTGTCCTTCCTCTGTGAGATCTACCCGACTACACTGAGGGTGGTATCATGTACGTCTCCCACATATGTGCTTAATACATAATTGTTGTGTACTGGACCTGATCTGAGTATTGGTTGTTTGTTCTCAGCCCAACATAAAACAATCGGGACAAGAGGCTCAGCATGACCTCATTAAAAATCCACTTTTCTTCTTTCATATTCTTTCTGACGTCTATTCTTGTGTAAGCTGCTAACTCTTCTGATGGACATTTCTTTATTTTATGTGTTGATCATATGTTTTGACAAAATGACTTTAGTAATATCTATAGTACATTTTGTGTGGCTTTGTTCTACATACAGGAAAACATCAAATATGTATTTCACAGGTTATTCCACACACAGATGGGTATTGTGAGTGAGTTGGACTGACACTCCCAGGCACCATGAGACATGAGGCAGATAGTGAGACTCCTCCTTATCTCCAGGAAGGAGGTGTTGAGATGAAATTATTTGAAGTGCCTCAATTCTATGCTGTATATTAACTAAAATGCCATATAACTGTATAGTGTAGTATTAAGTGGACATGGCCATGAAAAATAAAGGCATTAGACTACGTGTCCTTGGGGGGTAGAAAGCTGTAGACTCTCGCCCACGCTTGCCTGTGAAAAAGTAGATAACAGGGGACCATCTTCTAGTGGAGATGCATTATAACTCACCTGTGCATTATAATAAAAGGTGTTGATTGCAGCTGACAGTGTCTGCAGACTTTGATAACTGTGTGTCACCCTCGTGGTTAATCAGAGGGAAATCTGAGTCAGTGTGGATTTGGTTGTACAGCTCTCACACATACAACCTGAACTGCACATTGTAAGTGTGATGTTCTTCAAATTTGAACAAAGTAAAAACTAAAAAACTTTGAAGTCACACGAGCCAATATTTTATTCACAAGTTGAACTTTTACTACTTTTATCGCCAAAATGAGCTCACTTCAAATATTTACCACAGCATAGCGTCCCCAGGCACCTGAGACGTTTGGCAGATGGTGAAACTGTTTATCTTTGTGAGGTAAGAGGGGGCACTTGTGGATGAGCTGAAGGTATAGACCTGATGTCACTGTTTGGGTTCTTTGTCATTACAGGAGAAAGAAGTGAAAGCAGGCCGAAACCTCAGCACATGGATGACATCAACCAAAAACATCCAGCACCAGCAAGTAAAGATGAGCCAGCGGCGATCCCTGTGGAAAAGACTTTTCCTGCTATGAAGCAGATCAGAAGACGCAAGCGAGCCAACAGGGAGGACAGAAGCTTGACCTGTGATCAGTGTGGAAAGTCTTTTACTCGGAGTAGCAACTTAAAAACACATCAGCTCATCCACAGTGGAGAGAAACCATTCAGCTGCGATCTGTGTGAGAAGACCTTTACTCAGAGATGGAACTTAAAAACACATCAGCTGATCCACAGTGAAGTTAAACCATTCAGCTGTGATCAGTGTGGGAAGACCTTTGCTCTGAGATGGAGCTTAAAAACACATCAGCTGATCCACAGTGAAGTTAAACCATTCAGCTGTGATCAGTGTGGGAGACCTTTACTCAGAGATGCACCTTAAAAACACATCAGCTAATCCACACCGGTGTGAAACCATTCAGCTGTGATCAGTGTGGGAAGACCTTTACTCTAAGATGCAACTTAAAAAAACATCAGCTGATCCACACCGGTGTGAAACCATTCAGCTGTGGTCAGTGTGGAAAGACCTTTACTCAGATCACTTAAATCACATCAGCTGATCCACACCGGTTTGAAACCATTCAGCTGTGATCAGTGTGGAAAGACCTTTACTCAGATATCCAACTTAAAACACATCAGCTGATCCACACCGGTGTGAAACCATTCAGCTGTGGTCAGTGTGGAAAGACCTTTACTCAGATCACTTGAAATCACATCAGCTGATCCATACCGGTGTGAAACCATTCAGCTGTGATCAGTGTGGAAAGACCTTTACTCAGATATCCAACTTAAAACACATCAGCTGATCCACACCGGTGTGAAACCATTCAGCTGTGGTCAGTGTGGAAAGACCTTTACTCAGATCACTTAAAATCACATCAGCTGATCCACACGGTGTGAAACCATTCAGCTGTGATCAGTGTGGGAAAGACCTTTGCTCTGAGATGCAGCTTAAAAAACATCAAGTCGTCCACATGAAATTTAAAGCTTTCAACTGTGATCTGTGTGGGATGTCTTTTACTAGGAAAGCTTACTTTAAATCACATCAGCTGATCCACACCGGTGTGAAACCATTCAGCTGTGATCAGTGTGAAAAGAGCTATACTCTGAAAGGTCATTTAAAGGCACATCAGCTGATCCACTGCGGTGTAAAACCATTCACCTGTGGTGAGTGCGGAAAGTCTTTTATTAAGAATTACCGCTTAAAAGCACATCAGCTCATCCACAGTGAAGTTAAACCATTCAGCTGTGATCAGTGTGGAATTTCTTTTACTGGGATTAGTAGGTTAAAAATGCATCAGCTCATCCACTCTGGAGTTAAATCATTTGTATGTGGTGACTGTGGAAAGGCTTTTACTCGTATGACTGGCTTAAAATCACATCAGCGCACCCACTCTGGAGTTAAATCATTTGTATGTGATCAGTGTGGAAAGTCTTTCATCCATTACAAAAGTCTATTGAGCCATCAAAAGACCCACAAAGTGTCCTCCTGTGAGAAAAGTGGCAGACCAATGGGACATTACCCTGACAGGGTTCATTTGAACACAGTGGGAGAAACAGGGGTTCTGAACAAAAGTTCTTCTGGATGCTGCGTCAAACTTAAAAAGCTTGAGATCAGGCTTCACAGAATTCAGCTTTAATTTCCTGAGAAAGTCAGAGCTTCACTGTCTTTGTAGATCTAGTGAAAACATGAAAGGGTGCAAAAAGAGGCACTGTGGTACTGCATGATGAAGTCAGAAGTGACAGAGAAGTATGTGAGCGTGGTTCAGGACATATTTGTGTGGTAGCAGTGACTACCACACATACTTGGGTTGAAGGTGGGGGCAGGATTACATCAATTCTGAGCCCCTTCTTCCTTTTTCAAAGAGAGGGCAATACTCAGGAAAGGATGATGACAATAGAGCTGCAAGACAGGATGGAAAGAAAAAGAGTTTAAGAGAAGATCATGAATGTTGTGAAGCGATCGAGCCGCGATTACAAAATCTTAGCTTATGGAGTTAGTTATCCCAACACAAGTTTAGCAAGTTACACTTCACTGGCTGTGTCCACAAACAGCATGCAGAGCCAACATTACTCCCATCATCTGATCACAAGAAAAGCAAAATGTCAGAAGAGTTCACCTTCTGGGTCAAACTGTCAGACCTGTTACTGTTTATTTGGCTGTTCATCGTGA